GTTGCAAAAACTGGCTTAAGTGCGAATTGGTATAAGTGCGCTAAATTTGCAAATATTTGCATAAGTGCAAATATTGGCATACTTGCAAACTAGCATAAGTACGAATCAGTTGCAAAAAATGGCACAAGCGCAAATTGACATATGTCAATTTGTTCGGCACACTTATATAAGTGTGCCGAACAAATTGGCAAACATTGGCATAAGTGCAAATTTGGCATATTTGTGAACTAGAAGAGGTGCGAATTATTTACAAAAACTCGAACTAACATAAATGAGAATTGGCATAAGTGTGTCGAACAAATTTGAAAATATTGGCATAAATGTGAACTGGCATAAGTGCAAAGCAGTTACAAAAAGTGGCAAAGGCAAACTGGCATAACAGCGAAATGGCATAAGTGCGTCAAATAAGTTTGCAAATACTGGTATAAGTGCTAATAGGCATAAGTACGCCGTATAAAATTGCAAATATTGACATAAGTGCAAATTAGTATATGCTAATTCGCATTTATACCAGCTCGTACCTCCACTACCACCCTCCACCCGCATTTTGTAATACGTTTTTTTTGAGTAACCTTTACCTTCATAACAGTACCTTCGCTTTTACCTTATTTATCTAACATTTTATGATATTTTTTTTAATTTAGTGTCTCTTTTCTTTTTTAATTGACCCACTGCCCTCCCATCTCATATACGCTATTTGCAGATCCCCTCTTTCCCTCCGACTTTATGGAAGACTTTATGGACATCTTTTTGGACGATCTCTTATGCCAATGTTGCAAATTTTTTAGACGCACTTATGCCAATTCGCACTTATGCCAGTTTGCACTAATGAAATTCGCGCTTATTCATTTGTCCCGTTAAAACTATATAGCGTTAAAACTCTCGTCCCGTTAAAACTATATATCCTTTAAATAATTCTTTTTTTTAATTTTATAATAAAAAGCATTTCTGTCAATTTTTGATGTTTTTTGTCCAGTAAAATTTATATATATATATATATATATATATATATATATATATATATATATATATATATATATATATATATATATATATATATATATATATATATATAGGGTTGCCATATGGTAATCACTGAAAAAGAGGAGATTTTACACATTGTCAGGTCTTAGGGGAGGGGAGGCATGGGGTAGCAGCCTCTCTCTCCCCCCCCCCTTCTTATGACTTTAAATATGACTTTAAATTTATACAGAATTGGACTACTATACTGACAAATAAAATTGACTATGCGTAATTATACGTATATGAACTTGATTATTTCACTAAAATAAAAAAAATTTAAAAAAACTTAAAAATGAAAATATGCAGACTTTTTTTTTTGTTGACCTTTTTAGCCCCCTTCTTGGCGAGTGACATAACCCTCCCCTGATTTTACAATACATGTCAAATGATTGAGAATTCTTATTATATAGTGAGGCATTACTAGAGTGGACCCCTTTTATGAGAATTAAATAAATAATAACCCCTTTTTTTAAATGTCATTTTATTTTTTTAACACAAATTGCTGGTTTTGTAATTAAAATTAACTAATTTTAATTGCAAAACCAGCAATTTGTGTTAATTAATTTTAATTGTAAAATGTTCACATTCAATTTTATTGCTGTCTTACAATTATTGATTCTCTATGAATTAAGTCTTATTAGTTATTCTATATTAAAATATACTATACTATATAAATGCAAGCCAATAATTATTCCTCCATTATTTAACTTGTCCCTATTGTCATCTTGTAACGATTGTTCACTTGTCACTTATATCTAACTAATCACTTGAATCAGTTATCAATTTCACAGTTATCGATCAACCATTTGTTGGAACAGAGGAAGAACTATGGATGGGGGAAGATAAATCATACCAACTATACTTTTTTGTTGAACTTATCTTTTTCAATAATTTTTTGGTTGATAACAAAAACTTATAGAACTTATAAGTTCAATTTTATAATAATGTAATATTGAACTTATAAGTTCAATTTTACTTATAAGTTTCAACTTATAAGTTTAAACTTATAAGTAAAATTGGTCATGGCTCAATGATTTATTAACATTAAAAAGGGGCTTTTTTGTTTACAATTAAGTCTTCAACTTGATCCCAAATAGGCATACTGTCAAGTTTCATCCAACATAAAGCTTTTAACTCTTGTTATTAAGACTAATAACAGGTCAAAGGTATGTAACCTTTGACCTGTTATTAGTCTTAATAACAAGAGTTACATAATCATGGCCTTATTATGATTGTAAGATGAATTAGATAATAAAAATTAACATAAGGTAATTTGTTTATCTTTGGGAGAAACATAAATAAATGATCCAGCTGTGCAAATTTTGAATTTGGCTTAACACTCATTCCTCTCTTTCAAGTTATGTAAAGGTTACATAACTTACATATAATATAACAAAATAATAATATAACAAAATTTAAAGTTTGCACTATCTCTAGAGGTTACTTATCTTGAACATAAAAAATCCATGATCTGCCTGTTTAACCTTGTTCACAGTATGGTGTTTTCAAAAATGCAAACCGTTTTTGGTGGACATTTTTTTTCAATTAAACTATTTATACTCTTGTACAAATTTCTGCAAGGTACTTTAATGCTTTTACAACTTTAAATGATTCAGTACCATCATCTTATAAACTAGAAAATATATTGAAAACATAGTCTGTGAATTATATGGGGCTTCACAAGAAGAATCAGTTAATTCCGCTCGTTACATTTTTAAGTCTAATAAATTCAGCGGTAAAGATTTGCTAGTTTTACCTATTGTAGCAGTGAGTAACCAATTAAGTCCATTAGGATATGGTTGTTTTAATGATGAAGCTTCAATTACCATTTCTTGGTTAGAATTGCCTGCTGTACCAGATTCATTGCTTGATTTTGTTCACTATTATTGCCATGATTGTTCCACTAGAAGATGTTCTTGTAATAAAGCACGTGTAGTTTGCCCAGAGATTTGCAAATGTAAATCATGGTGATAACCATCAAGAAGTGGATGATGACTATTAATCAGATAAATCATACGAGCCTGAGTCTGATAGCCACTTAGATTAGATTAATAAATTGTAATAAAAATCATTTGTTATTTAACATTTTTTAATTTTGAACTGCAAGATAAACATCAGCGGCAGTAGTATATATTGGAAATTTGGTAATAATAATATTTCTGTTTTGATTAAAGTCCTCTTTTAAAACATTACATAAACATGGCAAATGGCAAGTCTCCTAAGAAAGCAGATCAAAAATAAAAAGATCTAGAACCTAGGTTTCCTATGCCAAAAAGCATTCAAATTTTAAAATACTTTTGGTAGTTAACTAAAGAATATACAAACTAAACTTGAAATCAAAATTATTAATTATTTTGGCGTAGTTGAAAAGAAAAAAAAAGTATATATTTTTTTTTTACAGAAACCGTCCTAGTTAAAACTATAGGATGGTTTCTATATACATTAAAACTTTAAAATTATACGGTTATTGGGACCATAAAAATCTTGAAACTTTATTTTTTTGTGAATAACTTGTTTTGATCTTCAAATTTTAAACTTTCTCGAAATTTAGTTACTAAATGTGTATAACGAACGTCTTTTTTTTTGAAAGCTTTTTCTGCAACAGATGCCGACCTGGTTTCCAAAAAGATAAAATAAGAGGTTTTTAGTCATTTATTAAATATCTTAATGCTGTTAACAAAGACTCTTTTTGTTCTTTCGAATAAAAGAAACATTTTTGGAATATAAATACTTAGCACAGTTGTTTTAACTGATTTTATGATACTGCCCCGTTGCTTTTTAGTGGTAGTTTTGTTTTGCCTGATGCTTTGGTTAATAAAATATAGACGGTTATATAGACTTCTCAAGAAAGATTTCATATTATCCATTTGAAATCAAAAGTAAGCTGAGTTAATAACTATGCTTGTTTTTGTCATTATAAAAATTTGTGAAATTTAAGTAATTGTAAGTTGTAGATAAAAAATTTGAAATTATATATGCATTAACATAAATATAACATTACTATAACAAAAACTAAAAAAATTTTAAACTTATATGCTTTAAATAGTATTGTAATAATAATAATAATAATAATAATAGTGATAATAATAACAATAATAATATATGTATTTCTATATATATATTTCTATATATTTATTTCTATATATATATATATATATATATATATATATATATATATATATATATATATATATATATATATATTTATATATATATAAATATATATATATATATATATATTATTTAACGTATTTAATATTTTATATAAGTAACACTTTTTTTATTGCATTCAAGTTATTAAAACATCAAAAAAGCAGTGTTCAAGTTGTAAAGAAATAAAAATATTAGCGTGGTCAGTTACAGAGTGCGATTGCACGCCATTCCTGTCCAAGCCTGATATATATATATATAAATATATATATATATATATATATATATATATATATATATATATATATATATATATATATATATATATATATATATACATATATACATATATATTATAATTCTGTATAAACTTATATGCTTTAAATAGTATTGTAATAATAATAATAATAATATTTATATATTTATATCTATATATATATATATTTATACATATATAAATATATTATATATATATATATATATATATACACACACACATATATATATATGTATATATATATATACATATATATATATATATATATATATATATATATATATATATATATATATATATATATATATATATATATATATATATATATATATACACACTTAAAAAAACTTTTTATTTATTACCTAATTATGTTGACTGCAAAAGTCTGCAAAATACTTGTAATATGTTATTAAATTCAAATATATTAAAAAAATAGTTTATACACTGCCTTTTTTTATTGAATTTAACTTATAAACATGTTGTTTAACAAAAACTTGACTTTTAAAGATTGATATATGTATATGTATATTCTATGTATCCTGGTATCATATTAAATCTTGAATTTTTTTGTAGAATTATCAAAATGAGTCAGTTTTTTACTAATTCCGAGAAAAATGAAATCATAGTTTTCAGCCATGAGTTTAAATTAGAATTAGGTGAATCTGTTGGAGTTGATTGGAGAACTCTTGGGCGTTGGTTAAATATTGAAGAAAACTATTTAGACAAAATTGATCAAAATAATGTTAAAACTAATGTGAAAATGTATTCAATGTTAACTAAATGGGAACAGATTAATGAAAATCCAACACTTGAGGAGTTAAAATCAGCTTTAAGGAAAATGGAGCGAATGGATCTAATAGGAAAAATTGATGAGTTAACAAGTAATTATTTTTTATTTTATATAAATGTATTAAATATAATGAAAGTTAAGATTTTTTGATAAAATAGAGTAAATTTTTCTAATCATAGTTTTTGTTTATTTCTTTCTTTATCTCTATATAAATGGTATTGATATAAATTCCTTTATCTTGATATACATAGCAATTTGAATAAATTTAAAAAAATAAAATTTAATTTAATTTTTAAGTATTTTTATTTTTCGAATCAAAATATCAGTTAATTATTACCAGTATTAGATAACAGAAAATAAATTGAAATACATCTAGTTGTAAGGTTAACCATTAAATTTTAGTTAATTTATTATTATTAAGTTTACAATATTTTACAAATTAGCTAATATTTTGCTTACCAAAATATTAGCTAATTTGTAATATTACTTACTTATTTTGGTAACCAAAATAATTTTTTTATATTTTTTATTAAAAGAATTCTGAAAAAGATTGCCGTTAGATTTGATATTAAAATGATTGACAAAAAAATTTGAATACCTTATACAGGCTTGGTCGGGAAGCGGGCGCGATCGCACTCGATATTTGACCACGGAAATTATATTTAGTTGCGAAAAGCCGGCCAGCTTTTTTAGGCGTTTTGAGAGCATTTCAAAAACAAGCAAAAAAGCGCAATAAGATAAACTGGATCAATGAGAGACAGTTAAAAAAAAGAAAAATAGCTTTTAACGCAAAACTTTAAGCAAAATAAATACGATTAGAGCAAATATCTTTGAAACGTCGCTCTTTTATAATTTTTTTTTTTAAAAAAAAGCGACATTTTTTGTATATAGTAACAACGTACTAATAATAATTGTTTAATAAAGAAACAAATGTTCTTCAATTTATCAAAGATTATATATAATTTTTATTTATATACTTATGTCTTATTTCCAGTGCTGGAAATAAGAGGTGGGGGTGGGGGTGGTAAAGTCCAACAAGATTAAACCAATAAAACTAACGCTACATAATTTGATTATAAATAAAAAAAGTTTTTTCAGTACCTGTTTTATGCTTCGCGTTGTTTGAAAAGTTTAACATATTTGAAACAATTCTTCTTAGTAAGATGAACAAATGAAATAACTAAATCATTGAGTTACTGTAGAAATTTAATTAGCTAGATAGAAATTAACTAAAGGAGGAAGCGGAACTGCTTAACAATATTGCTGATGATGTTTAGTGAGTGGGCTTTATATCTTTAACTAGTATTTTACAGGAAAAAAAAACTTTAAGTGTAAGTATAACGAGTTTGTAAGAATGGCTGAAGCAAAAATAATTGAAGTTAATAAACCAATTTCTAATACATTAATACATATAAATACATCCCTTATAAATAAAAAATATGATTATACTAATTAAATCCAGGCCTTGCGATAAAGCGTCGGGCGATGTGAATTTTACGTCGTCCAAGAGCGATTTTGCGTGTAGCTAGGGCTATTTGCGTCGAGCAAAAAATTTTTTGTTTGAGTATATTTAAAAATATTTTTGAGCAGATTTTTAATGAAGTAGTTTACGATTATTTTAACATTTAATAAAGTATTTTAAAAACCGCACGCAGTTGAAATAAAAGTTTGAATTAAAAAAAATTAAATATGCTCATTAATTACAAGTAGAAAAAATTCAGATTAAAAAAAAAGTTTAAATCTTTTTAAGGTAACATTTTAATAAATTTATTCAGCAATAGCAATGTTGTCGATAAAATTGAACAAAAATACTTTCTTTTAGTTTTAGATATTTAACTTAAATAATTATTTTATGGGGGTTTGTTAGGTTTTAAAATTATTCCATAGATTTAAAAATATTTATTAACTGTTAGACGTATTTAAAGTATTTAAGAGTAATTTCGAGGAAACATTTTAAAAATTGGTGAGGGCAAATAAAAAAATAAAAAAGGAATAATATTAAAACGTATTCTACTTGATTCAATAATAAAGTACAGTTATTAAAATTTTTGTAAAAAGTAACTCAAAAAAATTACTTAAATAATAACGATCGCTTTTAAGTTAAAAGTTACCGAAACTCAACGAAGCGTGCTCAAGAACAGCTGCTGAAAAATAAAACGTCAATAGTTTTTCAAATAATTTTTAATAATAATTTTTAAGAATAATTTTTTCGCTGAAATATTTCTTTTATACCTATAAGATTTTTATTCTAACATTTTATTTTATTTTACTAGAAATAAAATTCCTTGTTAACATTAAAAATCTATTCAAAACGTTCGTTTAAGTTTTTATTAATACGAGTGGTTGTGCTTATAAACCGCTTTAAGAAAATAAATAAAAATCAATAAATAAATATTATATAAAATCGCTTGTAAAAATATTAGCTATTGCACAGTTTTTAATCGTACAATATTAAAATTTCCAGTTTATTACTCGCTGACTTTTTAAAAAGAAAAAATAATTATTTGAAAAACTTTAATTTACATATTTAAAAAAAAAAATCAAATATTAGCATATTTTATAATCTTTTTTAAACTTAAGTTATAATGTTTTTTATAATGTTTATTATTTATTTTTTTATTAATGCTTTTTATTCGTTTAGTATAGACAAAACGTGACAAACGTCGAGAAAATAAACAAATGTTTTTACATTTTAAAAAAAGAAACATTCCAAAACATTTTTAAATAATAACATTTCTACATAAACGATTTAAAGTAGTTTTGCGGTAATTAAGTAAATTGGTGCAGTTAATGTCAATAAATATGAAAAGCAAATAAAAAGAATTTAATGACGTCAAAAATCACGTCGTGCTTATGCGTCGCGCAGTTCTTATTCATCGCAAGGCCTGAAATCTATAATATATTTACAAAAGATTGACAAGTTAAAAAATATAAATTTAAAACATTTCTTTTTGTAAACAAATGTTAGTTTAAAACATTTATATCTTTATGGATGTGACTCCGAGAATGAGCCATTGTATTAAAATTATTGTTCGTTTGATAGTATATTCTTAAAACAATTAATGTTAGAATTCTCAACGAAAACATAACACAAAAACAAAAACAAAAAAAAAAGATTTTGAAAAATAATTCAACAGAATACTCTAGAACAGTCGCTTGAATTCTTTAGTAATTCCAGTTATTTATTAATTGAACCAATAGAATTAGTTGTTCGTAAATTTGGCGGGTTTTTTGTGTTCGCGAATATTCTTTATTTATTTTTCCGCACTAAGATGTTTGACAACATTCAAGTTTATATAAGTTTCCATGTATGTCCGTAAAACAAAATCTTTTAAAATTTACGATAAAATGAACTTATTATTTTGCGGACAAACAAGGAAACATACATAAACTGAAATGTTCTCAAAACGCCTGAAAAATCTGGCCGGCTTTTCGCAAGTAAATATAATTTCCGTGGTCAATTATCGAGTGCAATCGCACCCGCTTCCCGACCAAGCCTGCTTATATAATGTTTTTCAGTAGCTAAACTTATTGAGGAATAAAATTTAAAAGTTCAAATCTTAGGTATGCTTTAATGTTTGGGTTAGTTTAACCGGACACTAAGTCAGAAAATTATAACAGTATAACAGGTGACTTTAATTGAAGACCAGCATGTATTAAATGACTAAGTCTGGTATTTGACCTGGGCCAAAGCCAAGTTTATGGCTGGAGCTGTATAAATATTGATGCATATTGATATGATATATAAAAATAAGTCAATATGCACCAATATTTATGCAGTCCCGTCCATAGAATGTATATATATATATATATATATATATATATATATATATATATATATATATATATATATATATATATATATATATATACGTGTATGTATATATATATATATATATATATATATATATATATATATATATATATATATATATATATATAAATATATATATATATATATATATGTATATATACATATATATATATATATATATATGTGTGTATATATATATGTATATATATATATGTATATATATATATATATATATATATATATATATATATATATATATATATATATATGTATATATATATATATATATATATATATTAGAAGTGTTTAAAAAAAAAAAAATTTCAAAATGCAAGTACACAATAAGCCAAGTTTGGGGCAAACAAAAAAAAAATACGATTACAAAAAAAAAATTCAAAAATATTCAAAGTACCCCGAAAAATGCCCCAAATAGTTCCCAAGTAATTTGGCTTTGAGCGCTAGGTAAATCTCAATATTTTGTAATTTTTTTTTTTTATATTTTGCTCATAATGGTCCAAACTTTTTTTTTTAGTTTGTTGTGTCTCCTGTTTTTTTCATAATTTATGTTTAAATTAGAAAAAGATTTTGCAAAAAAATACGCAATAAAATAGTTTTAACGCGCATTTAACAAAAGAAATAAACTTTTACTTAATGTCAAAAGCGTGAAAAAACTTTAGTGCTATTTAAAATTTACTTTTGTTTGCTTTGTTTTGCTTCACTGCATTTTTCTATTGCTAATTTTTCTTAAATAATAAACATTTGAAAAAGTCATAAAAAAAAAAAAACGGATGACAGTAAATAGTGTTGAATTCTAAAAATATTGTTCCAGTTATAATGGAAAGTTTAAAAGAAAACAAGCAAGAGTCACAAAAATTGATAGTTGTAAGTGCAAATAGCAGTGAGAAATTATTAAAAAATGGTAGAGAAAAGCGAAATAAAAAAATGAAAAAAGCACTTTTTAATATTGAGGAAGTCAAACCAGCAATACCAGGTAATGAATTTTTTCTGAGTTCTTTTTTAGTTTTAAATATTATTTCAATAAAATTTCACGTTGCAAAGGATCAAACTTACTGAATTTTTTAGTTTTTTTTTTAGTTGATCAACTACCAACAGGATTGGATATTTTACAGCGCATAGCTTTTAATCAGTCTATGCTTCCTAAAACATCAAAAAAAATTTTTTTAATAATTGCTTGTTCAGTAAAAAAAAACAGGAAACATGAAAGATGTGGTGAACTACATTGTAAGTGTATTCTTAGCCAAATAAAGGGTTCGTGG